ACCAGCAGTTAGCGTAATGGCTATGTCGCTGGATTCCCACGTAGTCAACTGCGGTTCGTGTCCTGGACCCAGTGCTTAAAACTCACGCCGGGCGCGTGTGCGTGTGTGCCCAAGATCCCGAGAGGAGAATGGAGGAGAAGGGATTGCGGCATGACCATTCCCCCTGGGGGGTGATTTCTCACTTTCTGTCTCTATGTCTCTCTCTGTCTGTCTGGCGAGCGTACGTGCCCTATAGCGAAAACCTCTCCCCCCCCCAAAAAAAGAAATATACACGGGGACCAGCAGTTAGTGTAATGGCTATGTCGTTGGACTCCCATGGACTCCCGTGTAGTTGACCGCAATTTGAGTCTTGGACCCGGTGGCTTAAACTCACGCCAGGCGTGTGTGCATGTATGCCCACAATCCCAAGAGAAGAATGGAGGAGAAGGGATTGTGGCGTGGCCATCCCTGCTGGGGGGTTATTTTTTGCTTTCTGTCTCTCTGTCTCTCTCTGTCTTTCTGGCGAGCTGTAGAAAAAACAAAAAAAACTCTCCAAAAAAAAAAAAAAAATAGAAACATACATGAACATGCAGACAGATGCAGAGATTCATGGCTTCTTTCTGTCCTGAAACTTTAGCCATGTGTCAGGTACAATCATGTACAACTCACTAGTCAGATACAAATACAAATTGTGTTCTTGTCAGTTAAAGTTACCTGTTTAGTTGGCTAAAACTTTCATTAATATTTGCAAAAAAGACTTATAAGCTTTATCATTTGCCACATTCTTTGTAAAAAGTTTCTCTTTTTCTCCTTCAGATGAATCATTTTGCTGATGCTTGTGTCTTAAAGATTTAGGCACCTCAAAGGCATAGACAAAAGATGTGAGATGTTCTCCGAGGAGGTCTGGAGCATATTCACTTAGTATTATGAGTCAATCTTATTGAAATTATGGTGAGTGACTACAAAGACATCCGATCTGTTTCCAAGTAGTCCTTATCCTTTTTAGCCCTAGGCAGTTGCTTTTAGTTTTGCACAAGAGCTAAGAGTTTTGCACGAAGATCCAAGATTTGAATTTAGTTGTTGCAGATAACCCTGGCTCATTTGGGGATCTAATTTTTAAAGGAGGTGGGTGCTGAAGGGGTTTTTCTCAAACAGAAAAAGCAAGAGCTCAGAGAGGCTTGTAGATTGAGAATCATGTTTCATTAGCACACTGCAGAGATTTCTTTAGACAATTTTCAAATCATTCTGTCTTTAGAAGACTTTATTTTTATTGATTAATTATTTCAAAATTTTTTAGTTTTGCTATAGGGTGCATGCACTTTCCACAGAGAGAAAGTGAGAGATCATCTCGCAGGAGGGGTGGCCATGCTGCAATCCCTTCTCCTCTGTTCTCCTCTTGAGATTTTGGGCATGCACACATATGCCCATGATGTGTTTTCCAAACACCAGGTCCAGGATTCTAGCCACATAGTTGGTCACGTGCTATCTAGCTACCTTCAACACCATGCCACCAGTTGGTTCATCCCCCTATTTTAAAAATTATTTACTTATTTAATTCCATTTGTTGTTACTATTATTTTAAAAATTTGAGCAGAGAGAGACAGAGAAAGAAAAAGGGAAAGGGAGAAAGCAAGCTACCAGGTCTGGGACTTGAACCACATTCAGCCATGTGGAAATCCAGTGCCTCTAACCACCACACCAACTGCTGGTCCCTCTTTTTTTGTTTGTTTTTTAATGAGCCCTATAAATGAATAGTTCCTTGGTTTAAAACTTCTCCATAGTGGTCACTGTAAACCTATGTCATTTTGGAAAAGTGTACCTATTTCTCTAGGAAGCAACAGGTTCTGAGTTCATAATTTCTCTTTTTTTTTTTTTTTTTTTTTTGAGAAATTTTCACTATAGGGCGTGTGCACTCATCAGACAGACAGAGAGAGACATAGAGACAGAAAGCGAGAAATCACCCCCCAGGGGGGATGGTCATGCTGCAATCCCTTCTCCTCCATTCTCCTCTCCGGATCTTGGGCACGCACGTGCACGCCCCCGGTGTGAGTTTTAAGCCACTGGGTCAGGACGTGAACCACGGTCAACTACGTGGGAGTCCAGCGACATAGCCATTACGCTAACTGCTGGTTCCCTCTCTTTTGTTTTTTAAATGCATTTGTACTTATTTAGTTGTGTAAAGAGATTATTATAGTTTTTCTCTTTTTAAAATTACTTAATTTTTATTTATTATTATTATTTTTAAATTTGCTACAGGGCACACGCACTCACCTGAGAGAGAAAGAGAGAAGGCAAGCCGCCAGGTTGGGAACTCAAACCGCAGTCAGCCATGTGGGAATCCAGCATTTTAACCACCACACCACCTGCTGGCCTCTGAGCTCATAATTTCTAAATGTAAAATTTGATAGTGTTCTGGACAGAGAAGTCGCAGGTCCCTTTGATGTGGATGAACTCATAATATCCGGTCTTTCTAAAATTTTACTCACCCGAGGCCTCCAACTGGACCCTGTCCAGTTCCTGTGAAATATGCAGTTCAATCGCTGGATCCCAATCTGGGTTCCAGATCTCTCACTTAGAAGCTAATGCCACTGACTGGACCCAGTCCTGTTCCTGTCGAACATGGGGTCTGCTCTCTGCAACCAACCAGAAATAAAATTATTCCGGCTCAGAGTGCTTAGACGCAAGTTGCCGAGTTCGGCATCTAAAAGGAACTCGCCCAGCAACCACCACATGTAACGAGAAAACTCCAAGCACAACGGGCCCTGCAGAGACCTGAATCTGGGTAGTCACGCTCCTGGAGGGTGCTGGGGGTCTCCTTCAGATCCTGTTCTTCTGACAGCAAACTGTTAAAAGGAAAATCTGTAAAAAGAAAAATTTTAGAGAGTTTGAGGAAGAAGCATGAATTGGGGAACGCCAGGCCAAAAGTTTAGTGTGTTCCAATGACAATCATCAGAGGCAAGTATTTATGGGGAAAACGCAGAAGCAAAATAAGGAAATTATGTTATTGGCTTACAATGACAGAATTCCCATGTGTGTGCGCGCACGCGTGTGTGTGTGGTGTTGTAAGTCAAGGTCTTGCTGTGTTACAATCCTCCTGCCCCAGCCTCTCTGAGTTGCTGCAATTAAAAGCACACACCAGGGCATGGGACCAGCAGTTAGCGTAATGACTATGTTGCTGAACTCCCATGTAGCCAACCGTGGCTCGAGTTCCGGACCCAGTGGCTTAAACTCACACCAGGCACATGTGTGAGTGCCTAAGATCCCAAGAGAAGAATGGAGGAGAAGGGATTGTGGCATGGCCATCCCCCTGGGGGTGATTTCTCACTTTTGATCTCTCTGTCTCTCCCTGTCTTTCTGGTGAGCGCATGCACCCTATACCAAAACACACACACACCGCCCCCCCCGCCAAAAAAAAAAAAAAGGAAACCACCAGGG